TTAACTAACTATTTGCCGTCCACCCATATTGGCCCATAACCACACCTTGTTAGGGAAGGCCTTGTCACGCATGGCAGTACATTCATATATTATGCAAATGTTTCTTTTTTATTTTTTTTTTACCAAGAATAATGGTTAAGAAATTAGTATGAATTAATTGTTAACAACTGGGGATTCGACCTCTAGACTGAGTGAACATTCCACCTCCTCAAATGAGCCGCACGACCATCAAGCTACTTTTTATGGAGTTCACGATGGTGGTAGAACTTAAATTTCTTATCACCTCACCCAAACACTTAAGATTTGAGACCGAACTATTGAACTAAAGGCCGATTCATTATGCAAATGTTATTCAATGACTTAATTATGCTTATACCCCGTTAATATTTAGTCGTCGTACAGAGTAGCTAAAAATGTCTACCCGTGACGAATTCAGGTTCGCACAGAGTGGCTAACTAATAGCTTGTTTGGTGGAGGTAGTAAGAGCTTCACCTTTTTTATATTATTATATTTTGTAAGGTTAAATTTTTTTTTAAATTTATATATTTTAATTATTTTAATTTAAAAAAAATTTAAATAGTAAAAATTTAAAAATTTTAAATTTAAATTTTTTATAAATTTAATTAATAAATATTAATTTTATATATAATTATGTTTTTTTGCGTGATCTTAATAATAATTAAATGTGTCATTGTACGCTTGGGTTTTCGGATCCAGTAATGTTAGGTCATATATAAATATATTCCTTCATCTTCAGAACAACAGTTTGAATCCGATTCTTTATAGATTTGTTCTAAAAAAAAAAAAAGTGTCATTGTAGATTGGCCCACAACCACGCCTGCTTTTTGAGTTAGAAGAGGTCTTTGTCACTCATGGCAGACTGGCAGTGCATTCAAATGGTATTCAAACTTTAATCAATAATATAATTATTCTGCTTTTTTTACTGTGGTTTTTGATTTTTTACAATTATGATTGTTGTTTTGGCCAGCGTTGAATTTGCTGGTGTTTAATATTTCTAGATTGGTACGAGTACTTTTTGTATTTTATATAATAAAAATTTTAATTTTACTGATTAAAATAAAAAATTATTCTGATACCTCCTGGGGTAGGCAAATCTTGGTTTTGATTTTAATTTAAATTAAGATTTAATTAATAAACAAATTTTCGTTAAAATTTTTGAGACCAGGACTAATATCAAAATACATAGTATTTTTTAGTTT